ATGGACTAAAACTAATGAAATGACATCATTACAAAATACCTTAAAATAATCTTAAACTGCTGAACCAAAAGAGGAAATAATTTGCTCAAACCATTATCATGCTGAATTAAATTCACCCATTCCCAGTCCATTTTAATTCACTGATGCCTAACGTCAATGTTCACTCTTCCCATCTCCTGTTTGACCACTTCTAATTTACCTTGAATGGATGAATATAATTCAGATGGCCATTATATCTACTACTGTGGGCAAGAATCCCTTAGAAGAAATGGAGTAGCCATCACATTCAACGTAAGAGTCTGAAATGCAGTACTTGGGTGCAATCTCAAAAATGACAAAATGATCTCTGTTTGTATCCAAGGCAAACTATTCAGTATCATAGTAATCCAAGTCTATGCCCCATCCAGTAATGCTGAAGAAGCTAAAGTTGAATGGTTCTATGAAGACCTACAAGATTGTCCAGGAATAACACCAAAAAAAGATGTCCTTTTCATTACAGGGGACTGGAATGCAAAAGTAGGAAGTCAAGAGAGATACCTGGAGTAACATGTAAGTTTGGCCTCAGAGAACAAAATGAAGCAGGGCAAAGGCTAGCAGAGTTTTCCCAAGAGAACACACGAGTCATAGCAAACACCTCTTCCATCAACACAAGAGACAAATTTACACATGGACATCACCAGATGGTCAATACCGAAAGCAGATTGATTATATTCTTTGCAGCCAAAGATGCAGAAGCTCTATACAGTAAGTAAAAACAAGACTGGGAGCTGACTGTGACTCAGAACATGAACTCCTTATTGCCAAATTCATACTTAAATTGAAGAAAGTAGGGAAAACCACTAGACCATTCAGTTATGACCTAAATCAAATCCCTAACAATGATACAGTGGAAGTGACAAATAGATTCAAGGGACTAGATCTCATAGACAGAGTGCCTGATGAACTATGGATGGAGGTTTGTGACACTGTACAGGAGGCAGGGAGCAAGACCATCCCCAAGAAAAAGAAACACAAAATGGCAAAATGGTTGTCTGAGGAGGACTTACAAATAGCTGTGAAAAGAAGAGAAGCTAAAGGCAAAGGAGAAAAGGAAATATAGAACCATTCGAATGCAGAGTTCAAAGGAATAGCAAGGAGAGATAAGAAAGCCTTCCTCAGTGATCAGTGCAAAGAAATAGAGGAAAACAATACAATGGGAAAGAGTAGACCTCTCTTCAAGAAAATCACAGATACCAAGGGAACATTTCATGCAAAGATGGGCTCAATAAAGGACAGAAATGGTATGGACCTAACAGAAGTATAAGATATTAGGAAGAGGTGGCAAGAATACACAGAACTGTACAAAAAAGATCTTCATGACCCAGATAATCATGATGGTGTGATCACTCACCTAGAGCCAGACATCTTGGAATGTGAAGTCAAGTGGGCCGTTGGAAGCACCACTACGAACAAAGCTAGTGGAGGTGATGGAATTCCAGTTGAGCTATTTCAAATCCTAAAAGATGATGCTGTGAAAGTGCTGCACTCAATATGCCAGCAAATTTGGAAAACTCAGCAGTAGCTACAGGACTGGAAAAGGTCAGTTTTCACTCTAATCCCAAAGAAGGGCAATGCCAAAGAATGTTCAAACTACCGCACAATTGCACTCATCTCACACGCTAGTGAAGCAATGCTCAAAATTCTCCAAGCCAGGCTTCAACCGTGTGTGAACCATGAACTTCCAGATGTTCAAGGTGGATTTAGAAAAGGCAGAGGAACCAGAGATCAAATTGACAACATCTGCTGGATTATAGAGAAAGCAAGAGAATTCCAGAAAAATATCTACTTCTGCTTTATTGAAAACACCAAAGCCTTTGAATGTGTAGATTACAACAAACTGTGGAAAATGCTTCAAGAGATGGGAATACCAGACCACCTGACCTGCCTCCTGCAAAATCTATATGCAGGTCAAGAAGCAACAGTTAGAACTGGACATGGAACAACAGACTGGTTCCAAATTGGGAAAGGAGTACATGAAGGCTGTATATTGTCACCCTGCTTATTTAACGTCTATGGAGAGTACATCATGCAGAATTCCCGGGCTGGATGAAGCACAAGCTAGAATCAAGATTGCCGGGAGAAATAGCAACAACCTCAGATGTGCAGATGATACCACCCTTACGGCAGAAAGTAAAGAGGAACTAAAAAGCCTCTCGATGAAAGTGAAAGAGGAAAGTAAAAAAGCTGGCTTAAATCTCAACATTCAAGAAACTAAGATCATGGCATCCAGTCCCATCACTTCATGGCAAATGGATGGGGAAGCAACGGAAACAGTGACAGACTTTATTTTCTTGGGCTCCAAAATCACTGCAGATGGTGAAAATGACTTCAGCCATGGAATTAAAAGACACTTGCTCCTTGGAAGAAAAGCTATGACCAACCTAGACAGCATACTAAAAAGCAGAGACATCATTTTGCCAGCAAAGCTCCATCTAGTCAAAGCTATGTATTTTCCAGTAATCATGTATGGATGTAAGAGTTGGACTATAATGAAAGCTGAGTGCCAAAGAATTGATGCTTTTGAACTGTGGTGCTGGAAAAGACTCTTAAGAGTCCCTTGGACTGTGAGGAGATCAGACCATCAATCCTCAAGGAAATCAGTCCTGAATATTCATTGGAAGGACTGTTGTTGAAGCTGAAACTCCAATATTTTGGCCACCTGATGCGAAGAACTGACTCATTGGAAAAGACCCTGATGCTGGGAAAGATTGAAGGTGGGAGGAGAAGGGGATGCCAGAGGATGAGATGGTTGGATGGCATCACTGACTCGATGGACATGAGATTGAGCAAGCTCCAGGAATTGGTGATGGACAGGGAAGCCTGGCGTGCTGCAGTCCATGGGGTCGCAAAGAGTTGGACATGACTGAGCAAACGAACTGACCTGAAAATCATGCTAATTGCAGAAATTTGTTTGGTGTTTTGTTTTTTTTTTTGTCGTCATATTTTTTTCAGAAGTTGACAACACAATTAGATCTTGAAGTCAGTTTCATGGATTATGATGCCTGTCAGTGCATTTTCCAGGGACATGTGGATGAGTCTATTGTCAGTGAACACAGATAACAGCCTTCTTAGATGAGGCCCAACATAGAGGAAAAAGCATTTTAGATGATGACAGAAAAATGTTTTTCTGTTACTTATAACTTAAATATCATATTCACTTACAATTTCAGATCAAACAAACTTAAGCCATAAGCTCATGCTTATTTCTATTCTTTCATTCTCACTCCTTACATTCTACTCATATTCTACTTTCCCATAGTTCTGATTTTTTTTCTTATTTATGTTTGACCATTGTTTTATATTATATGTTAGAATTTATTTTATTTTTTAGAATTTACTTTAAATCTTTGTAGGATAAGGTGAAGTAGAATGAATGAATGATAAGATTAGTTTAATATTTTACTAGGCCTTCAAAAATTTTTTGAGAAAACTTTTAGTTTGAAAACACAAAACTTGTTTTCAAAGTTCAGTAGTGTCTTATGAAAATGAGAATATAGATCTCTGTTGCTATAAAGGACAGAAATAAGATTTGTGTATAGAAATTGCCAGAAGGTGAATTTCAACTCACTGTGACGGAAATTTCTCAGTAGTTAAAGAAGTCTTAAAAAGAGGAGAATGTCTCACAAAACATCAAGTTTTCTACCACTGTTACCATATTTGAACAGAAGTTGGACAACTACTGGCAGGGATAATCCTTTAGTGAGTAGGAGGCTGGACCAGAAGGAATCTAAAGCCTTGTGTATCTTTGAGGCTGTAATAAAATACATATTATAGCAAGAAAAACAATATACAGGTTCTTATAGCAACACATTATCATTGATGACAGCAGTATTGGTAACTGTAATAACAACACTAACGGCCATAATAACACAGTATAAGACTTTACAGTTGCTTTTATCTGGGGCATCATCAAAAGACATCGTATATAAGTATTATTTTTCATCCCAATTTTACAGATAAGAAAATTAGGATGTTTCAAAGTAAAATAACAAAGGAAATGAAATTGCTTAAGCTGACAATCAGTCAGCAAAATTAAGGAGGTTACTGGTTAAACAACTCAATGTATTTAACTAGCTAATGTTGACTCTATTATAGCAGAGGCTTAGAAAGACTGGAATGTAAAGCCAGTAAAGTTTTGCCTAAGGAAGAGCTGGCTAAGATGCTATGGATACTGAATTTGATCCTCTGATGTTTAACCAAAGGTCATGCTGCAGAGCTTTAAGTTTAGTGAACATTCAGTTCCTAAATTACCTATTTTATAAGAGGCTAGAGAACCCGTCTATGGGGTTGCACAGAGTCGGACACAACTGAAGTAACTTAGCAGCAGCAGAGAACCCTTAGGAACTTTTCTCTTTCCCCTCTCCTCCAAAGCTGCCTTATTCTTTCAGACCAGATACTGTAAATGACAAGGCACATTGCCACAAGCACCTCTGAGCTTACAATTTTATAGCTTTGTACACAGAGGAAAAAAAGGATCTTTCCTGTAAGCTCTAATAATAATTTGAATACTCCTGAGAAAGAATACTGAGTAGCTCAAATCACCCATACAATAATCACCACAGCCAGAAAATGATGAAATGCTCAACATGGAGTTATGCCCATCCTGGGGTTAAGTGGTATGGATCGATTATTACTGATAAAAGCAGGAAAGAACAATATATTTTCTTAATTAAAAAAATTAAAATGCATATTAACCAGGTACTTCTAAATACAGTTTGAAACAGCTTTTTAAAGACATGCACATATTAAAAAATTAGGTCTTCTAAACTTCTTAGTTTGATCAAACAATTTTATATCATTTTTGGTACTGTTCATCCTTGTTTCTTTTTTCCTTCCTGATTGATTCTCTTTACTTCACAGACATTAGTTAGATTGGCCAAAGTATGATTCTACTTTTGGTTCTGATTGTGAGAAGCTACTTAGGAAGGAAGGGTATTTGTGGTGCACATCTGAATACTGACCTCAGACCAGCAGACTTCCAGAAGACACACTGAGTGATGACAACTTCCTTCCAGGTGTCTTCACTCTGTTCTCTCAGTAACTGCCTATTTTAATTTTACAGAAAAAAAGAAGAAAAAGCCTTATTGTTAAGTTTTCATTCTGTGACATATTGTAGATCCAGATTCAGGTGTCAAATAACTCTTTATTGATGCCCTACTCTGTGCCACTGTATTAGCCTTTACAGAAATAATGATGGAGAGAGGCTTTTCATGGGATCTGCTTTCTAGATAGTGAGAAAGACAATAAACAAATAAACTAAATAATCACTGGTTGTGAAAAGTGGTATGAGATGAATAAACAGAACACTGATAGAGATAGGCAGGAAGTTCTAAGTCAAAGATGGACTTCTAGGAAGACAAAGTTAAAACTAGAGTATAGAGGATGAGAAGGAGTCAGCCACTTGGAGACTCAAGGCAAGGCACTGTAGGTCAGGGTTTCTCAACTTTGGCACTAATGACATTTTGAACCATATAATTCTTTGTTGTGGGTGACTGTTTTGTCTGTTGTAGGGTGTTTAGCAGCAGAATTGGCCTCATCCCAATTGGACACCAGTAGCAGCACTCCCTTCTACCCTGTGACAATCAGCAATGTATTGGCCTTTGCCAAATGTCCCTTGAGAGACAATATCACCCCCCATTAAGAGCCAGGGATCTAGGCATAAGGAATAAAGAGTGCAAAATCCCTGATAGCATGAGATGCTGTTAGGGAGGGAAGAACAGCTCCTTCAGGTATCTATTTGGATTTTATTTTATGTAGATAGTTAAAAAGTCTTGGAACAATTTTAAGTAAGGGGGGGGGGTAACATGTCAACATTTAAAATAGGCTACTTTGGCTGCTGTGTGGGAAATATATATTTAAAACCATGAGAATAAAACCTGGTCTTAGGGCCAGGCATTATGGAACACCATCTAGAAAGTGTAAGAGAAAAGCAGGTTGAAAAGAAACAACCAAATAGGTTGGAGGAAAGCCATGTAAGAGGATGGTGTTACAAAAATTGGGATGTGAGTCAAAGAGGAAGTGGTTGATTATGACTAGATTTTTTGGTTGGCCTCATCATCACTGAAGGTTTCTCTGGAATTGCACTGGTTTAGCTCATCTTCTTGCCTTACTACAATTTCCCCTACAAATCTGTATATAATTTCAAACTAAACATCCTGTTCAAGAACTTAAAAGGCTTCCTATTATAGCCCTGCCTTGGCTTTGTTAATTCCTGTTTCTAAAACTTTGCTCTTGAGTAGTCATATCTCCTCCACAGTGCCTTCAAATATGCCTACCCATGAACCTTCCAAGTTGAAGCTCATATCTGATCTCCCATACAATACAAACTTTGCCCAAAAATTCTGGTCCACACAGATGTCTCTATTCTCTAAAAAATTAACAGAACTTCTAGTTTTTCAGCCCATCCACTGAACATATTTGTTACCTATCTATGCCAGGCACTGTGCTATGCTCTGGAAATACACAGTGGAAAAAATATAGTCCCTGTTCTCTAGAAGTTTACTAAGACGATAACACTTGTCAACATTTCTTTTATGCAATTAGGAAAAAAGGAGTTAGTCTCACATCCAATCATGAGCCAGCCATTTAGCTACAACTTCTCTATACTGTATTTCACTTTATCCTACCTAGCTCATTCATGGTTTGCCATGTCTTTAGCTGTTGTTTACCTCCTGGAACTACCGGATGACAGATTCTCAGGATAGAATACTGCTACTTCTACCACTTATTAGTGAATAGGGTGAGTAGAACCACAAGATGGTACATCTCCCGAAGTCTGCTTTATAATCACTCCAGAATAATAAGGAGGCATGTAAGTGTGGTGGTGCTGATGATGTAAACTTTGGCTTGGCCTCATTCAAACAACATAAGATGGTCTTTGGCATTCCAAATCTTTCCTTTCATGATCTCAAGTCAGTGAGAAGTGCAGAGATTTTTCCTCATTAATTTAGGTCTGCCCAGTAAAATAACTATTGAATTAAACATATACACACTCCGAACAAACAGAATTCTCAGAGGCAGTATATTTAAAACTTATGTTGTGACATTTCTAACCACAAAGTTTTTGGGAGCAACTCCTGTCCTAAAATACAGTGCGCTGTCAATTTTCCTTTTTTTCATCTGTTTGCTTTAGACTTCCCATTTGACTCTAACTTGTGACCTCACATACCATGTAAAACTCAGTACTTAAATATGCCAAGTAGCAGCAGAAAGTTTGAAGTTACATGATTAAAAAGCTGTACAGTCACGGTTTTGTCAAATTCTTGAGCATGGCAAACTGAAGGGCATTCTTCTATAATCTTGAAAGGAGGCAGGGAGATAGTATGAGTCTTTATTATCCATAGTTCAAATCATTTTTCACGAGTGCTCTGTCAGTTACATTTGCAAAGAAATAACTATAGTACAACATAATTATTATAAATAAATCCAAAAAGGGTGAAGGAAGGGCAAATCTGTCACAGGAAGTTATGAAAGTTTCCATGGATGAAATAACTATTCAACTGAGACCTAAAAGATCTTGAGAGAACCTAGCAGAAACACAGATGAGCAAGGAATTCTATAGAGCTAGTGTGGAGTAAATGGGCAAGAGTAGTAGATGAGACTAAGTTTGGGGCCAGGTCCTGAAGGAGATGGGGAGCTCCTGAAAAAATCTTGGTAATATTGTAATCACATTTTCATGTTAGAAAAATTATTAGCAGACATGGATGTTGGACTGGAGTGGGAAATACTAGAGCCTATTGCAGTGGTCCAAGGGAGATGAGTTAGGAGAGATGATGATTAGTCGATAGATTAAGACAGTGAGAATGGAAATTAAAAAGGGTGTGGGGGTTGAGAGATCCTTAAGGAGATGAATTAATCAAATTTGTTATCAGTACAGAGGAAATGAAGGAAATGTAATATAGGGGTACACATGGATTCTTGATTTGGGCAACTGGGTGCTATTATCTAAAACAGGGAATGAAAGCAGTGTAGGTTCTAGATGGGTGGGAAGAGATATGGCACTAGGAGTAGGGAACAGAAAAGATGTCCAAGTCAATTTGGGACAGAAGTACCTATGACTGCCTGCAATGCAGGAGCCATAAGAGATGAGAGACGAGGGTTTGATTCCCGGGTCGGGAAGATCCCCTGGAGAAAGGAATGACAATCTACTCCAGTATTCCTGCCTGGAGAATCCCATGGACAGAAGGACAGATAGAGGCGCTACAGTTCATAGGGTTGCAAAGAGTCAGACACTACAGAAGTGATTCAGTACACGACACCCAAAAATGCTGTTGCTTAAAAGGGTCTAAGCTGAAGATATCCATTTGGGAGTCCTTGGTGCCCAGGATACCTAGTAGCTAAGTCCATCGTGGGGAAAAGACTGTTCAAGGAGACAGAAGAAGTAACAACACAAGAAAATGGAGAGTTTGGGAACACAGAGGGCACAGTTAAAAATAAAAATATTTAAAGTGCCTCAGAGAGGTAGTCGCAAAACCAGGAGAGAGTAGCACTAGGGAAAGCAAGGGGAGAATTAATGGTGCTATTTTTTAAATGTAGCTGTTTTTCTCATTCTCCAAGTTTTAAATTTCCTGAAGGCAAGAACTGTATCTTAAATTTCACTGTATTTTCTTCAGGGCCCAACTCAGTAAAGGGAAAAATAAATGCTCAACAAATTCTCCTTGATTCAGTCACAGGTACTACTTGCCTATACCAATCTAAAATGTTTCCTCCTGTTTCTTCAAACAGAGTTACCTACCTGTTTAAGAGTTTAGTTAAATCAATTTTTAGAATCTGTATGTTGAACCTGCAACAGCTTTGAAATGAGTCAAAACTTTACTACTTACTGAGAGGGATCTTTTATACTAAAGATGACAGTGGTAGTAGTCCTTTTACTACTATCCCTAAGAAACAAGTTATTACAAAACGACGTTTCGCCCATTTCCCAAACTTTAGCTTGCAACTTAAAACCTGTTGAAAGCACAGTAAGGAGGCAGCCACATTTTTTAAATGGTTAATTTTTCTCACAATTAACCATTAACAGGGTCGACATGTTTATTAAGCCTATCATTTTATTAAATAGTCACGAAACAAACCAGTTGGGGAATATACATTCAAGCCAATGGGAATCATTTAACTGTAAACAGACTGTAAGGATTCACAGAAAGCTAAAGAGAACTGCGAAATCGTCTAGGGTTTCGAGGCCAACCGATACCGGTCACTTTCTCTGAGGTAACCACAACTAACTTACAGCCCAGTCTTTGGTGGATTCGTGTTCCTGAGCTTAGAAAATGAATAAATAAATGACCAAGAGTATCAGAATAACCACTTACACCTGAAGAACTATTCCTTTCTTCCCTCGACACCACAAAAACCAACCTGCTGCCGCCTTTCTCGAACAACAGTTAACCCCAGCGCTCTGCTCCCGCCTTAAGAAAAATGGTCAAGTCCCTGCTCTCGCGGGATCTCGCTGCTCCGAGTAAGTCAACTGGATCGCCAGCCCTATGGAACCCGCGCGGGAACACAGATCGGCAGGTCCGGGAAGCCGGGAAATCGCGTGTGGGGGCGGAGCCAGCTCCTGGAGCCTGAAGGCGGGGTCAGCTTCGAGGAGGCGGGGCGGGGGTGAGGCGGGGATTTGGGCGGGGCTCCCAGGACCTGTTGATCGCAGGTGTCACTGGCCTGACTGGCCTTGGGGTGTTGAGGAGTGTGCGCATGCTCCGTGCGCTGGGTCGGGCTCTGGGCGGCGGAGACCAGTCGCCTCTGCTCTAGTTCCCGGTGAGCCTCGGTTTCGGTGGCAGCTGTTGGCATGTCAGCCGGGTGTCAGCTTGACGCGGAGCTGGGCCAGCGGGAGATTGCCCTGTGGAGGTAAAAGGCCCGTATTTCTCTACCTGGACCGCGCGCCTCTCTCGCTAAAAGGGTAAGTCTCCGAAACTAGTCCCTGGCTGGAGATCCAAAGACCTGCGACCTCCGCGGGCCTGACTGGAAGACCCTCATTCCAGTCCCAGACTCGGTGTCTCTCCTCGCTGCCCCACGACCTCCTCCCCCACCCGCTTCGGGGCAGACTCCGGAGGTCACCCAGCCCTCCTGCCGCCCTCCCGCCTCCTCCGGGATCTGGCGGAGATGCCTTCGGCCAGGCTGGAGGCGAATGCGGAGGGAGGAGGTCCTGTACTTACTGGGCTGTGGTTGTTCGTTGCTGCTGTGTTTGAGGGCTGGCCAGAGGCGGAACCTGGGATCCTGCTGGATCGCTTAGTGCTTTGGAATTATGAATATTATGCTTACCTGGCGCCTTCCCCTCTCTTTCCAAGCCACTGCCTCTCGAGCAGCAGCTTTTTAAAGGGGTTTTGTTGCTCTGTTTGGAGAAGAGATGATTCGTGAGACTCTTCGGACTGTTGATTTCTGAGTGGTAGTAGTAATAATTTAGTGATTTAGTAGTAGTAATTTACGAAGTTAATGTTTAGCTTCTAAATGGCGAGTTAGGGGACATTTCTGGTCTGGTGTGTGCCCAGTCGTGTCCGACTCTTTGCGACCCCGTGGACTATAGTCCACCAGGCTCCTCTGTCCATGAGATTTTCCAGGCAAGAATACTGGAGTGGGTTGCCATTTCTTTCACCAACGGGACGTTTACCAAACAACTTTTAAATATCTTTGGAGAACCGGAAGTACTTGCACAGGTGTATCAGAGAGGGTTTCTAAAGCCTGCAATCTGAGCGTGCTCTGAGGTTTTGTTACTCCCCTCCAAGGTTTTCTCCGTCAGTGCGAAGCCTCATTAATGCTTGCAAACGTACTGCAAGGCTTTGTTAGATAAGAGTTTGCCAAATGTTTCCTTATCTGGAAGAAAATATGTATTTTTTTTCCAGTGAGTTTTCAAGGCTATTACTGAGGGATGTTTAAATTTAGGAGGTTCTTTGTGATTAGGGTCTGATTCACTTTTAGTAATGTTCTTTAAAGAAAAGCGTTCGTAATTCTCAGTATTTAAAAGACGGAAAAATTCCTAACGAAATTCAGATTGAAATGAACTTTTGGCTAAGTTAATATTAAATACTTCTTGTTAGTGTAATGTTCTATTCTTTTTGGTTCCATGATGATGGTCAAGGCAAAGAGAAATAAAAACAAATGAAACATATTGCGAAAGCAATATATGATTTATCTGCCGTTGTTATAATTTCAAATAGACAAGCACACTGTAGGAAGGAGTTAGTTATGCTCTGAAAAAAAAGGTTTTTGTTTTTATTTTAAATTTTATTAGTTTTTAAAATGAACTCACTGTACAGTTTGTTTAGGTTCACAATTACTACTAATAAAACATGAAAGTGATTTATTCTACTCAACTCACTAGTTATGTGTGTTTTTTCCTAAAGTGTGAAAAATAAGCAACCAAGAACAGATCTTTCATTTTCCCTATTAATTAAAACAATGTTTTTATAAATGTAGGTAGATTTGTATAGTTCTTGTAACTTAACATTAATAGTCATTTATTAATATTTTCTTTAGAAGATACAAAAAAGTGGTTTTTTTAAAAGACAGCTATTTTAATGCTGTAAGGGCACCATTTTTCACCTAGTTTATTCTTTTTCTTAAAAAATCAAAAAGCTTACGATTTTAGTAAAGACTGTGATTCAAGATCTTTTCCATTCTTTAGTGTCAAATGTTTATTTTAAACTGTTCAGTACCAGGATATTTTGGGAATAATGATTTAGAAGTTTTTTTTAGCCAAAGATTTCAAAAATGAAAATTCTATTTTAAGGTAATGTACACATTCAGTAGTCAAATCACAAGTTATTTTCCTGCTGAAACTGTTATTTTGCATTATAGTATATGCACACAGTAGGAACAAGAAATGTTCTACTAGAGATAAAAACTTTCAAAGGTTATTTAAACTTTAAATAACTATATAATATCCTAATCTTGGCAAGTTATTTTTTTAAATACTAGGAATCCTACATGTATAGAATATTTAGGCAAAAGTATTTCTTCTTTGCTTTTCCAAGTTAATCCATATCCTCTATCAGCAGTTCTTTTATTAACTGAGGACTCATGATTAAAACTGTGGTCTGTGATTAGAACTGAATTTTAATGTAACTGGTTTTCTTGGGAATCTTATACATTTTTTTCATCCTTTTTTAGTTGTAATCCCACGAATTATATTTTATGTTTTTACAAACATTATCCTGAGGGGTCCATAGGCTGCCATCAAAGGTGTTCCGTGACATACCCCAACGTGCTACAAACCATTGCATATGGTTGAAGAACTTTTATTTTACTTGAGTTACTTAAGAAAAGTTGCTAGTTATTGTTTATGGCTGCATGGTTGTCGTGTTATTTATGAATTAAAATTGTCATTAAGGAAGTTTTGAATTTTTCTGAGAAGTTGTACATAGGTTGAATTCTTCTAAATTAAATCTCTGTTACATTATTTCAGAATTGCTTTCACTTTATTTCGGATGCATTGCCTTCTAACATTGTAACTCATTTCTCTTTCTCTAGCTCAGTTCGTAAATGAATGTTTAAAATAATACTGTGGTGAATCCACTTGTGAAGCATTTCCAAACTTTTTTTTTGTAACTAGAAGTTTTCATATTTTAAGTTTTCTTAAAGTAGTATAGCTCTATAAATGAAACTGCTTATTTTCTACTAAGAATGACTTATTAATAGATTTTTAAATTTGGAAGTTAATAATTCATTGTACAGTTTATCCGATGCCACTAATCTGGATTAAGTCTTTAGTCAAGTTTAAAGAAATGGAGGAATAACAAAATGGGGTGTAAAATATCAATACAGCTTTTACTTTTTCTTCAAATGTGTTTTTTATATTGTTAAAAATCATTTTATATCAAAGATTGTGTTTTTGCTGTTATACTGAGTGCCTGCCATGTTTTGGGCATTTATTAGTTTAGATATGGTTTGTGATTCTTAGAATAATTCTATGAACTTTTTAATATAGATTATAATTATAGATAATGGAATTCATTTGCTTTTAATGATTGAGTAGTTCAGTAATATGCTGTGTTGGTGGAAGTTTTTCAGAGGTAGAATAATTGGAAATCATGAGGTCAGTATCAGAACATGAATTCCATCCTTGTCAAGAACCCATCAGGGCATTCTTTGTTAACCAGGTACTTTGTGCTTTATCTTCTTCTAAACTTCTCACCCTGCATAGTAAAATCTTGGCCCTCCCTGTTTTTAGATGAGCAGTCTGTTTGAACCCTAGAAGATGTTTCCTCTTAAAAGGTACTGCTGTATAGGCCTGAAATAATCTTACCTCCTTGTCAGTATACTACTGACACTAACCTAGCTGCTAAGTGGTGGGAAATTGTCCTATACCTTTGATGCCTAGGTCTCTTTGATTTCATAGGGTTTGTTAATTGAGGTTTCATTTTATTTCCTGAGCTTCATTCAGTAAGTATTTAATGACTGCCTACCACGTACTTTGTATTGTTCTAGTTGCTTGGAATTGAGTTTATATTCTTAGAGGATTGGGAGGAGAAACAATGATAAACAGCGGTAAAAACAATAAGTCAATTGTATGCTATCTCTGTTGGTGAAGAATGCCAAGGGGAAGAGAGAAAGTAGAGCAGGACTAGGGGAGTTGGGAATATGGAGGGGGTTGCAACTTTGAGTATAAGCCTCATATAAGAAGGTGATTTTTGAGCACAGCAATCATGAAGTGAGCCAGGGAGAAGTCACGTGGGTATCAAGAGGAAGTGTATTCCAGGCAGAGGAATAGAGTGTCAAGGCTTTAGAGCAGGAGTTTGTGTGTTTTGTTCAGGAATACCGAGGAGGCCCATAAAGTTGAAAACGAAGAACGTAAAGGGAAAGTAGTTAGGGATGAAGTTAGAGCTGAGAAGATGGGCCAGTGTTACGTAAGAAGAAATGTATATTTGGTCTCTGCCTGTTTCCTGGCACACAGCTCCGAAAATTCTTGGAATCTACAAGGTGATAAATGTGTGTTGAGGTGGCTATGGTTGAGATAAATGTGTGTTGGTGACTGGGTGCTAGCCGCACGGTGAGAACTGATTGCCACGAAACCAACCATGTGATTATAGGACTGACATTTTCAGCCCTCCACCCCCTCTCCTCACCATACACATATACACACACTTCCAGAGAGGGGAGAGGTGGAGGTTGAGCTACTCACCAGTGGCCAAATATTTAATCAAGCATGCCTACACAATGAAGCCTCCATTAAAAAATCGTAACTGTGAAGTGGTCTAGAGACCTTTTGGGTTGGTGAACTTGTAGAGGTGTTGGGAGGATGGTGCTCTTGAGAGGGTGTGGAAGCTTCCTGCCCGGTTCCACATTCTTTGCCCTGTGCAGCTCTTCCATCAGACTGTTCGTGAGTTGTATCCTTTTATAATGAACTTGAAATCCACTCAAGTAAGCTGTTTTCCAGAGCCATGCCAGCAAATTAATTAAATCCTTGGCAGAGGTTGGAGGGAACCCGTAACTTACTGGTGGTTGATCAGAAATACAAATGACTACTTGG